ACAACTCAGCACTGGGGCAGGACCCAGCTGCTCCCGTCTCCAGGCCCAAACACAGGTCAGAGCCAAGGGAACCCAAGGGGATTTGGCACCGAGCGGCTCGAGGAGCCGGCTGCCCCCAGCCCGGCCCAGGTGGGCGCTCACCATGACGTAATGGCGCTGGATTTCTGTCTTTTCCGTTGCCAGTTTTTCACATTCTAGCTTCAAGCTGTGAAAAGAGAGAGAGAGAGAGGCAGACGGCGGAGCCTGAGCCGCCACGAAGCGCCAGCTTCCAGCTTCACACGCACCCGACCCCCCTGCCACCCCCCGTCGGTCCCTCCCGCAGTACAGAGCCCCTGCCCCGTGCAACCAGGTCGCAGGGCGCTGGGACGCCGCCCCATCTGCTTTCCAGACACAGGCAGCTGGGGGCACTGGGCTGCAGCAGGACCAGACCCTGATGCTACGAGCAAGGGGGTGTGGCGGGGCCCAGACATGGGTCCCGCTCAGCTCCAGTGCAAAGCGGGCACAGAGGGGGGCAACCCCGGCCGGCAGAGCACGCTCCCTTCAGGAGCAGAGGCCGCTCCGTGCACAAGTGCCATCCACGTGGATCGGTGGCCATGACGGTGCATGCGGCCACTTCCCGCCAATGCAGCCCCAGCACCGGAGCTGGAGGTAGCAGGGGAGCACGTGCTGCCAGCCCCGTGCGGTGGCACCGCTCCTCGCTCGCATGGAGTGGCTTGGCAGCACCATACCTGTGGTATTGGTTTTGCAGGAATTGGAATTCCTCCTTGATGCGGTCCAAGGTCTCCGGGTAAGTCAGCTTCAGGGACTGGGGGGTGCTGGAGACGGCACTGGCCGCGACTGCTGTGGCGGTAGCCACAGGGGGGGCTTGCAGATGGGCCTGGGCGCACGGCAGAGAGGGAAGAGCAGGCATCAGCGCTGCCCCCTGCCAACCATACGGCCCCCTGGGTGCCCGCTACGGACCAGCCTCCCCAGAGAAGGAAGCGCTCCCCAGCATCGCTGCGGCCCCGGGGAGGGTCCCAGCGGAGGCGTCGAGGAGCCAAGGGGCAACGCGGCCATTCGTTGCCCCCCACTTGCCCGGCGCGGAGGCCACGGCTCCACGTCCGGCTGGTCTCTGCGCCGGCGTTAGCCACTCCCGTGCCAGCGCCCGCGCTGGGCCG